AGTTGGCCTATTGGAGCTTGCACATTATTGTGAATCTGATGAAGGCAATTTGCCGAAACCTTGTAATAATGATTGTGAAATGAGTTGAATTATGTTAATGGAAAGAGCGTGTGCAGGAAGCCTCCCCACTTTTACTATTAATTCTTTATTGCGATGACATATGAAATGCCACGTATTGCTGCCCAGCTCTTCTGTATGGTTACATAAACTATTTCCCATTCCTTTCAGAATTAAAGAACCGGACTCCCATGCTCCTATATTATGACTTCTGCAATAGAATTTCCCCAATGGGAGGGTAAAGGATGAAACGAGGGGCACTGATCAAGTGCTACACACGTACCACTTTGTGTGTGAAGTGTGATCAGGAGAACTATGAGTAGATGAGCACAAGAAGTCATGGAGATGTGAATACGCAGGTGGACCTAGCACGCAGCAGGATTGTTGCAGCGAACATCCTTCCCCTCCTTTCAAACGCAAAGAGAGAAGAAATTGTCAACAGTACGAACAAGAAAAAGCAGTATGCAATAAAAAGAGGACCATGAGTTTACAAGATACCCGTTTTGTCCATGCAGCACTAACAATAAAAAAATAATCAGGATACTGGTGAGTCAGAGAACGTGCAACAATCCTTTCGATCCTAGGGCTCTCTATCTGTAGTAGAAAATGCACACCATTGCCATAAATTAATACCAGTATTATCAAAGATTAGTATGCATCACGGTACGAGCAAGCAAACCAGCAGAGACCAACATTGGTTTCTCTGATACTGGTTCATGGAGTATAGTCGAGCTAGAAATATTTGGAAGTGCAAGACCATGCCGCCAAGCACAGGGAACATTCTGGAGGAGGGGAGGGGGTAGGCTCCCGCGGATTATGCCGGCATGATTTGGTGGTTGAAATATTTGAGCATAATGAATTTTGTCATCCTTTCGGACGAAGGAGCATAACTACACGATTGTACAGATGTTGTTTGCAGGCTACACAATTCACCGTGTACATGCACAGTTACTGTTTGTACCTGATCAGTGATCAGCGCTAGTAGTGGTCTGCATGGTAAAATGTCCAGAGGTTATACAAACATTGTTGCAGTGAACAGGAGGGTAGAAATCATGGCAATACATTGTTGTCAGCTCGAACTCGTCTTCTTCAAAGTTCTTTCTCTCGCTGATACAGTGTACATGTATGGAGCAGAAGATGAAAATGAATCAACCTTTATCAGGTATCTCGGGGCAGACGAGATATCGACGAGTACTCCGCGTACATGTATATTTTGCATGATGCGAAGTCATGACCTTTGGATCTTAGCAGCCATGGTTGGACTACACGATGCTATGGCAAAGGTCATGACTTCGCATCATGCAAAATGTAATAGCTTATCGACAACTCTTCTTGTAAATATCGATACCGGTGTATGCACTTGATCTAGTGGATATTAGTTTAATACATTAGGAGGAATAGTTCATGTTCGGTCATGACGGAAGGAGAGGTGGAGCTGCGAGAGAGAAGTGCTGATTATTCACAGGGCGAGGTTGACAGTTTGGACGAGTACGACGACTACGAACACAGTGTATTTTGAGAAAGCTCACACCGCGGCGATTGTCGTAATAGATCATGAAAGTCAGAAATACGACGGGCAACACTCAAACCACGGTCGCTGAACAAGCACCCAAAAATGTAGCCGCAAATCTATAATTATTACATAATTGCATGAATGAAGTACCACTACGGGTATATAGAAGAAGTAATCTTATCTCTTTTCGATGTTGACCTCTAGCTTGCACGGGCACCAGAAAGTATTGTTAACCTTATGGGGATACCGATGCTAATGTATTTTGTTGCACTTATGGCCACTGGCAAGTACGAAAAACGTAATTTTCCGAACTTTGAGGCTCCATGTTTAAGTACAACAAAGTGAATAAGTGTCCCCACATCCCAAAGCATTCTTATGAAGATTTTTCGAGCCATATGCGAGCATCCATGAAATCATAATTAATTTTCATGATTTCGTGAGCATGATCCGCCGGAACCTGGGGGGGGGGGGGGGGGGTCACAGACAGTGCACGGCTGAAACATCCTATGCACACATGCGCGCACACACGCACACTCTCTACCGTACATAGCAGGCAGTCATACAAATGTAGAATACACTGTACCTGGCATTTTACGACTCCCTGGCACAGTATGAAGCAAGACAGCATTAATTCCACACCAGGACTTACCGACCACCTTCGCGTAGCTGCTCCCTCACGTACAATGACAATGTACACATGTAGCTGGAACTGCGGCCTCGCTCATGTCCTGGTCCTTCACCTTGATCCGCTCGTAGATGGCCACACAAATATCAGAGATGTCTTACCGGAAGACATGTAGGTGTCTTGATCCATTCAGCCATCTTGGATTGTCTTGTCCATATAACGAAACGCACCGTGCTGCTGGAACATGCATACAGATGGCGCTAGAATTTAGACAAGCTCGTGAAGCAGACTATCTATTAGAAGTTCGCACTAATGTTGCCACACATACATGCGTAATGATAGATTGAAGTAACGGTCCAATAGTGACATGAGAAAGGCGTCCAGCAAATGAAAGTGTGAATTTAAACCTGAACTGCTGTTGGATTGTTACACGGAGTCCTGCTATCATTTCAAGAGTCACCCCCACCCTACCCCATGGAAGGACCTAAACGAGAATCAAATCGTCTCAGTCGTTTAGCTCTGTCAATCGTTATCACCACAGTGTGATCTTCATGCTTCAGTACACAAAATTAGTAGGAGATCCCCCAGAGGCGTTAGTCTTTGGGTGATCCTGAATACAGATTATCAATACTAGTAGATTATCATTCCATCTCAGAGTCTTTCCTTGGCGGGCTGTGACCTCTCACCTACACCGAACCACATGTAGATGACTTCAATCCGGATCTGAGCTGTGTAGCCTGAAAATATGCCGGAGAAAGCAGGTGAGAGGTCACTGCTCGGATTCCCGTGAAGATTGCTTTCCTTCCAACGCTTGTTTTAAAAGATTCTGGTCTTGTTTTTTTTTTCTTTTTCCCTTCCGGTTTAGTTATTACATGTATCTATATTAGCTGAGGAAGATTGTGCCTGAAGAGCACCATTTATATAGTGCTCTCCAGGCACAAACATAACCAGGGATACAAACTTACAGAGACGCTCCGTTTCCAGCGCGACAAACACCTCGTGAACACCAGATAGCAGCGTGAGTCAGTGTCGCTCCTGGATGGTGAGACAGACGTCGAGGACCCTCGGTCATTCGCAACGCTGTCACCTCCAAACCAACTAGTCGCAAGCCCGCGCTGGGCACAAAAGTACGAAGTAGTGGTTGCGACTTCGGCGATGATTTGTAAGAAAGGGTTTGCTCCCCACACCGGAGCTCGCGCTATTCCGCCGTCGCATAAAGTAGCAAATCTAGCATTATCACTCCCCCTCACGTGACCGCGGACTCCTGCATATACACTCACACAATAACCACACAACTGTTTGGGGATAGCGCGCTTATTGTATTATGCCAAACTTGACACGCTGAGTCCAGCTTGACTCAGCTGAGTCCCGAACTGCAATTTACTGCTCTAACATGAAGCCGTGCCTGGAAGAAGGGAAAGAGCGAGAAAAGAAAAAAAAAATTCTGGCCTTCTGCAAGCAATAGCAAGTAATGAGTGACGGCTGTGTAAAGTCGCACAACCATGCAGTCGACCGGATGATGGTGAGTGTCCGGCACACATCTTGCTCTGCTGCTCCACCTGCGCATACCTGATACGGTGGTGCGCTTACGGGCGGGCTGCCTGGGCCCCAGATGCCTCCTCGATGTGCCACGGAGTGCCGTCGAAGCACCTGTATCACTTCGGTGATCCAAACGCGAATGCAGCATTGCCGGTCGCCCGCCGGCCTGCCGCCTACGCGACCAGCCTGAGACTGGCCCTGCCGCATTTGGCGCTTCTAAACGCTGCGATCCGGTAGACAGCTCACTGGGCTGCCAAATACGTAACTGGCTTGAGGACAGTTCCATACTGGGCAGGGCGCCCAGCTCAGGTCGCACGCCGTAGCGGCGTGAGCTGGGCGCGGTGAGGGTTGGTGATAACTACAGTTTCCTCCTTCCTCCTCCGGAAACTTCCATTTATCACTCCCCCTCACGTGACCGCGGACTCCTGCATATACACTCACACAATAACCACACAACTGTTTGGGGATAGCGCGCTTATTGTATTATGCCAAACTTGACACGCTGAGTCCAGCTTGACTCAGCTGAGTCCCGAACTGCAATTTACTGCTCTAACATGAAGCCGTGCCTCCCAAAAATAATGGGGGTGGCCTCACCGCACGCTATCCCCTATTCTTGGTCCCGTCGATCTCTGTGCTGTTCGCTGTAGACCTGTGATGGCATGCCTGATTCGGTATACAGTGAAACCAGTAGCTAAAGACCACCGTGACCAGCGACCAGTCTGGTACTACCGACCACTTCGCCGGGCCCGGACGGTCTCACATTCATAATGGTTGTGCGGTGCAAGCCTGCAGCCAAGGACCACCTGCCACTAAGGACCGCTTTCTCTGGCCCCAAGGGGTGGTCGTTAGCCACAGGCTCGACCGCACATGTATCTCTTGCGGGTCAACCCTGACCACCTTCCGGCGGCCTGGAGGTGCCGTCCGGGCACCTTCCTGGCCGCCAGATCCTGTGTCAGCTTGAGGGCGTCTACCAAGGGCATTGCCATGAAGGACTGCTAGGCTTTCCCCTGGTTGGTAGCTCCTGCTGGTGCTGGGCACTACTGAATACGCTGACGACTTGTCAGCTTCCGCGGGTAGTGTTCGCACGGAGGGATACCTGGGCGCCCCAAGCCGGGCAGACAACAGCCGAAGGGCTGTCGTGTTGGATACAAGTGTGACTAGCTACCCGCCTGGTGCTATGGACACCTTCGCCGGGCACGGACGGTCTCACATTCATAGTTTGCGGTGCAGGCCTCCAACTAAGGACCACCTGCCCCTCAAGACCGCTTTCTCTGGCCCCAAGGGGTGGCCGTTTAGTCACAGGCTCCACCGCACATGCATCTCTTGCGGGTCAACCCTGACCACCTTCCGGTGACCTGGAGCTGCCGTCCAGGCCCCTTCCTGGTGGCCAGATCCTGTGTCAGCTTGAGGGGATCTACCAAGGGAATTGCCATGAAGGACTGCTAGGCTTTCCCCTGAT